GGGAAGGACTGGACTGGAAGCGCGGAGCCGAAGCCAATGCTGCAGCAGGAGCGCGATTGGGAAGAACCGAAGAAATGAAATAAGGTCAGCGCTGTAGCGGGACCATGATTTGGAAGGACGGAGAACGGGGAAATGGAGCCAACGCTGTAGCGGGAACACCATTCTGAAAGGACTGAACGCGTTCGGATTTGAACAACACATATGAATTCTCAACTCGGCGGCATCCAGTGTAGAAAACAATGCGCGGAGGAGGGCAGGACACCCCACTGGCGTCTTCGGGGAAAAGAGGAGAGCAGTATTCATGTTGTGAAGCTGCGGAGGAGAAAGGAGGGGGAGGAGGAGGAGGAGAAGGAGGACAAGGAGGAGGAGGATGAATGAGGATGAATGAGGAGGAGGAGGAGGAGGAGGAGGAGGAGGAGGAGGAGGAGGAGGAGGAGGAGGAGGAGGAGGAGAAGGAGGAGGAGGAGGAGGAGGAGGAGGAGGAGGAAGGAGGGAGGAGGAGGGGGGGGAGGAGGAGGGCCACATGCAGGATCCCCCCCCCCGCACCCGCCCCTCGCGCCTCGCCGCGCGGCGCGCCTGGCGCGCCTGGCCCTACCAATGCCTGCAGCCGCGCTGGGTCTGGGTGCAGGCGGTGCGCCGGGCCGCGGCCGAGGGCGGGTCGAACCCGCGGCCGACGGCCCCAAGTCGCGGCACTGTCGGGATTCGGCCGTGGCCGGCGTCGGCGTACCGGCCGGCGCCCTCCCTCCCTAAGACGAAACCAAGAGGAGGGTCAAATATGGTACAGATGCATCGAGAATCTCAAGGGTCCAGCCGCTCTGGAGGCTATCTCGGGCGCCGCCGCCTTCTCAGAGCGTTCTGGAACGCTCTGAAAGCGTTCTGGAACGCTTTGGAACGGATTATCCTCGTCCTAGCCCTGCCCGACTCCCAGACCTGAGGTTCTGGTGTTGCAACGCCTTCACCACGTGTGTGTTTGCTGGATTTCGGACCCCGGGACCGGCACAGATCTATGCAGCTCGACAGAAACCTCAGTGCTCTTTTTCGCAACCTTGGATCTCAGGGAGGCACTGCGCGTCTTCCGAAGGCTCAGTATAACAAATGACGATCTCAAGCCTGTGATGGGAACAGCTCGTTTTTTCAGGCGCTCTGGGTGAGCTTTCGGCGACCATTTCACCATTTTAGACTGGCCTGAGTCAAAATGGCTATGGCCTTCCCTCCTGCCAGCACGCGCGCGCAGGAGCTACGAGGGAGGGGCAAGGAGAGAGCTGCCCGACGCCTTCTCAGAAGGCTCGGAAGTCCCACGGCCTTCTGAAAAGTTGCCTCAGCCTCCCCCGAGAACACAGAAAAAGAAAACCTCTCAGAAGGCGCGATGGCTTCTGAGAAGCCCCGCCGTATTCCCTTTTTGCTTCCCCTCGCTCGCCGCCGAATGGTTTCCAGCTCTGAACAAATTGTTACGGTCGCCCAGCACTTTTTGTGAACGTTTTCTTGTTCGGCGTTTCGACAATGGGCGGAAGAGGGGGGGTCTGGCTCTGGACCTCTGTTTAATGCGAGTGTCTGCAGCAGTGCGTCCGTCCTGTGGGGGAGGCTCCACTTGCTTGAAACAGGCGCCAAAAACAGCCAATCCATGGGGGGGGAGAGGGGGTTACGAGAGCCCGCGCCGATCGGTAAAACAATGACGAGAAGAAAACAATCACTTTCCGGTGCCGGAGCATCGCTTCGGCTCTGGCGCGGTGGCGTGACGCTGAGGACCCTTGAGCTCCAACAGCGCCGATCGCAAACCACACCCCAGCGTAACCACACCCGATGTTAGGGAGCCCACAAAGGACGTACGCGCCGAGCTATGTACACGAACACGGCCCCTCGATCTGCGAGACCGGCCGCGTGATACGAACTTTCGGGCAATGCGTACTCTCGAAACCAGCGTGGATTCATGTACGTATACGTCCTTCGTTCGCTCCTGAGATGTAGTCGCCGAGCTTGACGCGGCTCTCGCTCGAGACTTCCCCACAATTGACGCTCACGGCCGGCTCGTCCCGGGGCCGAGGAGTAGCTGAGAGGCGCGCGCGGCTCTGCCCCATTTTGTTGTTGTTGTTGTGGCTGTGGCTGTGGCTGTTGTTGTTGTTGTTGTTGTTGTTGTTGTTGTTGTTGTTGTTGTTTTTGTTTGTTTGTTTGTTTGTTTGCCTGTCTGTCTGTCTGTCTGTCTGTCTGTCTGTCTGTCTGTCTGTCTGTTTGTTTGTTTGTTTGTTTGTTTGTCGTCGTCGTTGTTGTTCTTGCTCTTGCTCTTGTTGTTGTTGTCGTCGTTGTTCTCCCTCTGTGTTTTGTATGAACCTTTGTTCCCTACCTAGGCTCTGCCTAGAAGGGTTCTTACTCTCTGGGCTTAAAGGGGCCGGGCAGTGGAAAGCGCCCCGGGCGGTTCCCAGTATCCGCCCCGCGGTTCCCCCAGTTACGTCCCCTTAGCTTAGCGTTGCTCATGTCATCTTAGCTTAGCTTATTTCATCTTAGCTTAGCTTAGCTTCATCTTAGCTCAGGTTTATATTAGCTTAGCTTACCTTCATCTTAGCTTCGCTGAGCTTTAGCATAGCATAGCATAGTAGAGCACAGCATAGCATAGCGCAGCATAGCCCAGCGTAGCGTAGCATAGCGCAGCATATCATAGCATAGCATAACTTGGCGCAACACAGCACAGCAGAGCACAGCGCAGCATAGCATAGCATAGCGCAGCTTAGCATGGCATAACATAGCTTAGCATAGCACAGCGCAGCATTACATAGCATAGCTTAGCATAGCATAGCATAGCGCAGCATATCATAGCATAGCATAGCATAGCATATCATAGCATAGCATAGCGCAGCATAGCATGGCATGGCATGGCATAGCATAGCAACTAAGGCTGCTTTCCTAGGGGCTCCAACTTCTAGGTAGGGTCGCACTGGGGTAATTTAGCCTATTTTATTATGTAACACACTTTGTTTCGTTTCTCCAATCCTGGTGGTTTGCCTCACTTTCGGCCTCAGGGGCCCGTTCTCGGGCCCCAGGGCCATTAAAAAACGGGTCCGAGGCGAAGAACTTCCCCACGGCTCTGTCCCAGACCTCCCACGGGAGCCCGTGTTGAAAAAAGAGTGCGTTGGTTGTTGTTTGGGCTGTCGCACACTTCTGGCGTCGCCAGGAGGACGCCAACGACCTCTACAGTCGAGCACTTTTGCTTAGCTTGTCGCGGTGGCGGCCCCAGCGGCATGCCATGCAGTGCGAGCGGATGGCCTGCCGCTTTGCTCCGCGGGTTGGGAGGCTCGGGAGAAGCTCTCGGGACGTCGACGCTCGGGGGCTTGGACGTGGCTGCGCAGCGTGTCGCGCCGAAGTGGGCCAGAACCAGCGGCGCGACACTCTAAGCAAACGTTCCTGAGCGTGTGCACGTTCTCGGCATGGAGCAAGCGGGTCCTGAAGGAAGCGTGTCCTGGAGGGTTTTCGCCGATATCTGGCTCCTGGTGCCGTTGCCCGGCTCTCGGGGCTGTCAGAAGGCGGCTCAGGATGAAAAACTGGTTCGGGGGGCAGGCCCTGGGGTCCATGATCCGTTCCGTCAGGACCCGTGTTCCTCAAAGGCAGCACGTTCACCGACCCTGGTCAGACCCATGTTGGGCCCGAGAACGATGCATACGCCCTCCCAGCTTGGGCCGGGGAGGCATGTGCATCGATCCTGGTCGGCGTATGTGCACTGCAGGTCCGTGCCGTGTCGACCCTGGCGTTGGTTCCTGACACCGCGCTGGGTCGTTCAACCTTGAACGATCGGCCGTCTCCGCAACGTCCGATCGTTCAACATCGACCGATTCTGGGCCGCCGTCGGCGTTCAACGTTGAACGTCGGCGGCGGGGTCGCCGCCGGTCGACACGACGCGAATCTACCGTATGTCTCTCATCGCCCGAATCGTGGCCAAATCTTCCCCGGAGGTACTGCCGGCACCCACGGCCGAGTCCTGCGCGGATTGCAGGGATCGTCCCTGGCTGGGCCCTCCCTGGCTGGGCCCAGAATCAGACTCGGGCACACGCTGCCGTGGATTCGCCCGCTGCTGCTGCTGCTGCACCTGCTGCTGCTGCTGCTGCACTCCTTTAGCTTATGAGTGACTTTTCCCTGCCGCACCTCGAAGCCAGTCGGACGGGCGGGCTGGGCGCTACGCCTGGACTTCCTGACCATGCGCCTCCAGCTGAAAAGCGAACAACAATTTCACAAATGGAGGGGGGTGGCGTCCAAAATGCGGCTTTCGCTTCAGCGCCGCGCAAATTCGTTTCAAACATGTGCAAAAGGTTTCACGGATTGAAGACACATGGTTTTCAACATGTGGCTCTCGCCTCAGCGTCGTTCACAAACGTTCCAAACAATAACAAGAGTTTTGCAGATCAAGGGCGGTTCCTTTTTTAAAACTTTGCTCTCGCCTTAGCGTCGAGCATGTCTTTCTAAAATTGTGCATGACTTCAACGTGTTTAGGGCTGTTCCTTTTCAAAATGTGGCTCTCGCCTCAGCGCCGCGCACATTCGTTTTAACCATTTGCAAGAAGTTCACTGACTCTCATGGCTAACGTACCAGAAATGGTACGTTGGAGCGATTCTGGATTATCAGGGCGCAGAAGTTACCTTGACTCGCGGTGTTGAAGTTCCCAGAACGGTGTTCTGGCACGGTTCAGGATTGTCAAGACGCATCAGTCAGGTTGACTCGTGGCGTTGGAAGTCCTGGGAACGGTGTTGGCACGCTACAGGATGTTCACATGGTTGTCCCCCCACGGAAGATCAGAGTGGGGGAGGAGCGGGGCAGAGCCAACTTCGGTTCCTCTGGTCTCGTATCCCACCTCCCTTCTCGTCGCCCCCGCCTCCATCATCTCTGGCTTTCTCTCCTCCTCGTCCCTGATGTGCTCTTCATCGAACGACCGCTTCACGCACCTTCCGCTTCCCCTTGCGCCGCCTTATCGTTCTTTCGTCCCGGAGCTGTCCTCTGTGACTGGCTGCAGTTCTCCTTCGTCAGCAGCACCTTGCACTTGGAGCAGGTGGATGCGTTCGGCGCCATCCTCGGGGCTCCATGGGGTCGGGGTCGCGACAGGGCGGGGACGCTGGACGGCGAAGATAGAGAGCTTCCCCAGGCAGTGCACACTGCTACCCTCCGACCTGACTCCCGACTTCTCCTGGCCGAGAAGGTCCACGATCGCAGCCCCCCCCCCAGGCCGGTTGGGCCCTGGGGGGGATCAAACCGAACAGCGGGATCACCTGTGTGACTGGCTGTGGCCGGTGTGTGCAAGAGTAGGCGTGAGAGAAGGCGCAGAGGAGACGAGAGGCTTCGAGTAGGGGATCGACTATAGAATTGATTCGGCCCCAAATTGATTTTCTCGCCGTAATCGAGGAACAAGCGTTCGTAGGGTGTTCGTAAAACGAGCAATCTACGTTTCAGTCATGGATTCGACGAGAAGGTCAACTCTGGGCTAAATCAATTCAGTAGTCGATCCCCTACTCGAAGAGGGCAGAAAAAAGATCCTCCGAACGCTTCTCCTCCTGGATCCTCCTCCCGCATCTCGTTGCCGCACGTCCAGCGGGTCTGCAGGTGCTGGGCACTCGAGATCGGGATCGGCCATGGGCGGCTGGGGGCTGTCGGACCCCTCAACTCTTCCGCCGTGGCGTGAGGAGGGCGCTGAGGGACTGGGGCCGAAGACCCCGGGGCACTCCTGGGACCAGTCCTCCATTCCGTGTCGCTCTCTGACGATCGGCTACACGCAAGGGTGACCCTGGGTAGGAGTGACCTTTGGTGCGCGGCTTAACGGGGGACGCGGGGTGGTCAAGCATGGGCGCGCAAGCCGCTGCTACCGCTTCGCGTTCAGCGATCGGGGGACCCCTTTGGGCCCGCACCAAAGTCGCTCCGGCGAAAGGCCTCTCTTACGTGTAGTCGAGACGACCCTGGGGCCAGGGAAGGGCCCCGGGATGTTGAAAACGGCCAAGAACCTCAGGGCTCCGCTGTCTCAATTTTTCCCTCATCTTCGTGGTGGTTCATCATGGTCATGGCAGGGCCCTGTGCTCCTGCACACGTTCGACCAGGACGTTTCCAGACGGCGGCATGGAAAAAGCTGCACTGTCCCCAGAAACCCGGGCAAGGACCCGAATCCTGCAGTGCAGCACCACGACATACACTGGACGACCAAATCTGACCTAGCTGGAAAGGGTGCCTTTTCTCCGACTTGCCAATGTCCGGATTAGTCTCTGTCCTGGTCTCTGGGGGCCTGACGTGGCCTCCTGGCTGGGTTGCCAATTGCGGGCGTGGCCGCCCGCGCCCCCAGGTGCGGCTGCAAGTGCGGACCGAGATGTCGTCTGTTCGTGGCCCCAAGGCCTGGTGTGCCCCCAAGACCCCTGCCGCCCTCGCGTCGTGAAGGAGCCCTCCAGGGGACCGGCAAACATGGGCCCCGCGTGAGAGGGACCCTGGGCAAGGGTTAGGTCGGGCATGCCCTCCTACAGGTGGACTCTGGAAGAAGCATATCAGATACTGCCAAACGTTAATCACAAATACTCAGAGGAGCACGAAAAGTCGCCACCAGACTATTGCACGATTCTGGACTGTCCCTCCTGTAGAGGGACATTCCCGACTGGAGGCAAGAGTGGCCTTGGGGTGCGCGGCTTCCGGGCCGCCGCGCATGGTGCGACGGGAGCGGCCTGCGTGCCTGGGCCTGGCCCCACCCTGGGGACATCTGGGCCCAGGGAGCGACATCCGGCGGTCCCTAGGCTCTCCTCCTTCTCCTCCTCCTCCTCCTCGTCCTCCTCCTCCTCCTCCTCCTCCTCCACCACAATTACTCAATATGAATACTACTCTCCCTCTTCCCCTGATGACGGTTTGAAAATGCTCGACCCCCCCCGCGTACTGTTTTTTTACACGCAGGTTTCCCTGGAGTTAGGTTTTCGCCTGCATTTTTTTCCAAAATGCTGCTCTCGCTGAGGCGCCGGCCTCATTTTCGGGCCCCGCTTGTTCCGAATCGTGCTTTCGCTGCAGCGCTGGCATCATTTCCGTGCTTCTATTCGTTCCGAGTCGTGCTCCCGCTGCAGCGCTGGCCTCATTTCCGCGCTTCCGCTCGTTTCGACTCGTGCTCCCACTGCAGCGCTGGCGTTCTTTCCCGTGCCATGCCACGGCATGCAATGCAATGCTAGGTTGATACTACGCTTCGCGGTGCTCGTCTACACCATGCCATGCCGTGCTCTACAATGCATCGCGTACCCTTTCGGGTTCATTGCCCTGCTCGACATCCGACTGTGCGAGTAGAGAGGGGATCTGCGCCATGGTAAGGGATGGGAGGGAGGGGTAGGATGTCAGATATGACGCGAGCGCACCTAGCTTGTCACCTCCTCCTCCTCCCCCTCCTCCCCCTCCTCCCCCTCCTCCCCCTCCTCCCGCTTCTCCTCCTCCTCCTCCTCCTCCTCGTCCAAGCGTTTTGCGCTCGAGCTGCCGGGGCCGCCCGCTTTCTGCGACACCCCAGCAGTTCGCCCGTGTTCAGTGGGCGACGGTGCAATTTCTTCCCTTGCCTCCACGGCGGTCGCGCGCCGTGACCGTTCGCCTTCCCCCGCCTGGCACAGGCGGCCGAGGGTGGAGGCGAACACAAGCCCGTGCTGTCCTCGCCGCGGTTCAGCCAGGCGGGTGCTCGGCATTCACCACGGAGACCGCCACCTCACCGCGCCAAGGGCTGCGGGTCGTGAGGGCCGTGGCAAGGCCGGCGACGGCGGGCGGAGACCGTCGCTTTTGGTGGCATCCAGACAGCCAGAGGGTGAAGGTTGGCGCTGTGGATATGCAGACTGCCGATGCTCAAAGAACCTCCAGCGCTGGAAATGTTGCAAACATTGCGGGAGGGTGCAGGCAAGGAGGACCGAGACGCTGCCGTGGGCTCAGGATCGTCCTCCTCGCGGTGCTGGCAGCGGTGCGAAGTCCCTTCAGGAACTTGACGCCGACGCCACGCAAGCTCTCGTGGCCTTCGCCGAATCGAAGGGTGAATGAGGCATGGCAACTAAATACAAATCGGCCATCCAGGCCAAGGTCAAGCCCCAGCCAGCAACTTTGTCGGGAGATAAGTTGTTGTTGATGGCGCAACTGGCCGAGATGTCTGGAGACACGGCGACCGCAAGGAAATACCATCAGGAGCTGGAGTGACTGGACAAGCCGAAATTGTCGGAAAAACCAATTCGAATCCGCGCCAACCAAGCCCTCGCCAAAGTCTGGACAGTTACAGGTCGGTGGGCAGGCTCATGGACGGTAAGCTCGACGACATCGATCTGGACGACGACGGGCTCTTTGGTTTCGCTGAGATCGAAGGGTTGGACCCATCGCGCAAGAAGATGCTGAAGGCCTTCGAGAGTATGGCAGGTACCATCTTCGGCGAGGTGTGCCAAATGGGGGAAACTCTGCAGGCGGAGCAGAAGGCCCTTCAGGAGCGTATGTCATCCAGAAAGAGGCGTGCTCGTGAAGAGAAGGATACTGGCGATGCAAGTGCTGCGGCAGAGCCAACTGGTACTGAAGATGGGGGGGCTAAACCGTCGGGTCAGCAGGCGGCGACGCCCAGCAGCCAACCTGAGGCATCTCAGCCATCCATCCCTTCGGCGGAGACGCTCAAACTGTCGGCCATGGCGTCAGTGGCAGCAACGGAGAAAGCTAAAGGCAGTGGCCATGGCAAAATTGGCCAAGAAGCGGATACACCGCCGTGAGGGTAGCCGGCAGCCTGATATCCTCAAGAACGCAGGTGCGATTCCAAGCCATGGGTTTCGTCGTGCAGTGCGTTTCAGTGACTGTGATGTGGTGAGGGTTGGTTTGGCATCGATTCCAGCGTCTGCACCTTGCGATGGCTATGCCTCGGGGCCGCCCAGGCTCCACCAACGGCGGCATCTTCGACTTCTCCGATTACCCCGAGAAGGCTGCGGACCAGGGTGCACGCTGAGAAGGCTTAGACCGCCCTGTGGGCGAAACCCACGACAGCTTCGCGATAGGTGTGGGACTGGCGTGGCGTGGTCGGTGAGTCCCCACAGCCCCGCCCTGGCGCAGCAACACCAGGGGCCGCGTCGTCACCCCCCTCCAGCGAGGTCCTCAGCCAGACGGCCTTCGTCCCCTCCTCCGACGTCGAGTCTGGCCGCGGAGTTCCAAGCTTAGGTCGGGCATGTCCTGTCACAGGAACAATCAAACATAGTCGAGCAATGAGCAAGAATAGTCAAAAACACAACACACTGTCACCATACTTTTTTAACATCTATTCTTGAATCTCCGTCTTGTAGAGGGACATGCCGGACTTACTTCCAGGAGTGACGAGGAGTGCGATTACCTCGTCAAAGATACGGCCCTGGGTGGACCCCGAGAGAACGGAAACTGCCCGGCGGAGAATGCCCACGGAGGGCCTGGCCTTCTACAATGAGCGAACGCGCAGGGCGGAAAATCGCTGGAGGGAAGCTCGAGCTGACGCTCGGCGGCAGATGGTGGGATGGGTATTTCCAGTAGTGCTAGCGCGTTGGGTACGTCAAGTAGCACAGCGGTTGGCTCATCTTTATTGTTGGGGGTATCCCGTTCTTCGGCAGCGGGGGGGAACGGGCACTTCCAAGCAGCCGTCTGAGCGAGGCAGTGTCGAGCGCAGCTGCAGCTGCATGGCTGCGTCGGAGGAGTCATACCGTTCGTGTTCGACGGCATGGGCGTCGACTTCGAGCGCGGCCTCCCTCCTCCCCACTGGTGCCCATAGCGGTGAGAAAATGCAGTGGGCAGGATCACCATCATCAGCACTGGAGAAGACCGACGCGATGGTGGACCAGGCGCCGTCGAGTTCGGCCACGTGCTCGTCGGGGTCTTCTGGGTCATCTAATGAGGGTGCAGCTGGTACCAGCGTCCCTGCATGTCCCTGCGTGCCTGCGGGTTCGATGCTGCTTTTTCTGTGAGCCACCCAGGGGTCCCGAGCGCCATAAGGCTCGACAGTGCTTTTGATTTTTTGCAGGCCCCCGCCTGAGCCGCCCAATCCAGAAGGTTTCAGTCTGTCCGTGGAAATTTGTAACGCCACGTGTTGGAACTCATTCAAGGAATGGCTCAGTTGAACTTCTGCTCCTGTGATTTGCCTCCAAGGGCACCACATTGTCAGTGAGATCGGCCTCAAGGAAGCGTCCTCGTGGTTCTTGCGTCATGGCTGGACGGCAATACTGGCTTCTACTGCGGCCAGCCAAGGTGGAGGCTCGTCTGGAGGGGGCGGCATTCTCGCGAGGAGCTATCTTGGTCTGCATGAGCCCGTGTGGTGCTCGGCGCTGGTGGCGGGGATGCTGATGAATGTGTTGGTCCATCTTCCTGGGGATGCGCGTATTGTGGTCCTGTCGGTTTACCTTCATGATGGGGAGGGGCTGTCTGGCAGGAACCTCGACATACTTACGTAATACCGCGAGGGCTACTATCGAGACGTCAGGACATCAAGCAATTCTGAAGGGGGGACTGGGACATGTCTCCCGGGTGTCTCATGTCTTCGGGGTGGCATCACCAAGGGCATTCAATCCACCCACATTGTGCAGGATTCGCAGGTCGCTCCGCACTAGCCAGTCCGCCTCTAGATGTACCCCAAGTTGGCGCAGCTGTGCGCCGTGACTTTCCGCAAGCCGCTCCCGATCCCAAAGGTCAGGCCAATTGGGGTCTTTAGAAAAGCCCCTGGCTGGTCTAGCACTATCGATGCTGCTGAGGGCTGTCTGGGGACAGCACTCACGGGAAAGCTGGAGGAGGCTCAAGGAATGCTCGATTGGGTCTGTGGGGAGTGGGCTTACGGGGCTGAGCAAGAGCTTTGCGATATTGCGCAGTGTGAGCTGCCCTGCCATGGTGCCCGCAATCAGTCGCCGCAGCTGCGCTGGGTGCCGATCATGACAGACAAAGCCCCTCCGTGCCGTCCTCCGAAATTGTCTGGGGGCAGGCGGGTCTTGCACCGGCTCCAGGTCCCGACTCTGGGGCTTCGTGAGGCCTCCGAGGAAGCCGTGGAGGCTCGGGACCACCTCCTCCACCCTCCGTCTCACGTGGCGGGTTCTGGAAACCCTGAACCAAAAAACGTGTTCATCTCTTCGGGGCGCATCTTTTACTTCCGCTGGCTTCCGCCTGCCTCCCGCCGGCTTCCACCGGCGGATGCGGCCTCTTCCGCCGCCTTCCGCCGAGGAAGAGATGGCGACTCCTTCGATCCTTGAAGGCAAGGCCCTTGCTGGAACGCCGCACGTGAGCAACGTTTTGACCCGTGGCCTCCAGGAGTTCCTGGTGGCTGCCCGTGGCCCCTCGCGCGTGCTGCCTCGAGGGGTGGACAGGAGGACCTGCCCTGCCCAGGAGCTCTGAACAGGACAGAGCGGCTGGAGGCCGCGGAGGACCTGGTGGCCCTGGCGCAGACGTGCATCAGTGCCCGACAGTTCGAGTGGGGGATCGACTACAGAATTCATGTGCCCCCAAATCAGGAGTTTCCTCGAATCTGCGACAAATCTGTGTACAGTTCGTAGACCTACAAACATTACACGTATGTTGCTGTAGATTCGACAGAACAAACTCATTGTGGGGTCAACAATTTCTGTAGTCGATCCCCTACTCGACCAGTTAGAGGCGCGCAAGGATGGACAGGTGGGGTGGAAAGAATGGCTCCTCTCCGACATAAGGGGGGGGGAAAGAACGCTCACCTGGCCTCCGACGACCGCGTTGGCTACTTCTGGTGGTCTCGGACCTTTTGAGTGTGCTGAGACGTGAGGCCTCTCAGTGTGCCTAGCTGTGGGATGCGTCGTCGGAGGCTCCTCAGATGATGTTTTGACGGCCCCTGCCAGCCCCTGCCCCATGTGCCTCATTATCACATCCGTTCGGTCGCTGCGGCGTACAAGGCGTCGACGGCGCAGGCTGTGGACGGGTTCCATACAAGGCACTACGCGTGGCTGTCCGAGTCAGCCCTTCAACTGGTCTCCATGATCTGCCATCTTTAAAGCGATATCCAGCATCCCGCGCCAGCTCCAGATACTCCAGGTGGTGCTTCTCTCTGAAGCGACGGAGGGATAGAGAACCATAGGTCTGTTCGATTCCTTGTTCAGGCTGTGGGGGAGGTGCAGGAGGGAACTGGCTGCTGACTGGGAAGCTAAGAATGCGCGTGCTTTTTTGCGGGTAGTTCGTTTGCGTCTGCGGCGGGCACTGTCTGGCGACAGGCTGCCAGAGCGGAGCTCAGCACAAGTCGTGGTGAAGCATCTGCTCTCCTTCTCTGGGAGATGACTCAATTCTAAGAGAATTTCTCCCTAGAGAGGTTGGCGGTTGAGTCCATCCAGGGAGTTCGGTTCCCCACTCCCATCACCGAGCTCTGTATCTTTGCCTGCAAGTGTGACCGTTTCATCAGCACGGGGTCGGCGGTGGCTGGCCCCTCTTCTGCCTCTCGAGGACTGCTGGCCGGTTGCTCCATGGCGATGTCCCTGGTTCGGGCCTACCTCCCGGGACCGAGCATCAAACTCCCCAGGGGTGTTTTCCTGGCGCAGTTTATCGATGATTCGGGCGTGTACTCCACGGGATCGGCCTCCGAGGCTCCGAGGCGGTCTCGGGTCTCAGGGTGAGTTCTGATCAACTGGTGCGTGCGTTAGTTGAAGGGTGTGGCTGCTCCATCTCCCTGTCCAAGGCCAGTCAAGGCAAGCTGATGTGCTCGGACGGCCAGGTTGCCCCGACAATTGCACGACTTCCTCGGAGACCGCGCTGGGCCCCTGGCCGACAGCGTGGTGGGCTCCAGGAATGACTTCACGGCGGGCCGCTCTGGTAGGCAGGCTTGTGTAAAAGAGGCCCTCAGGCAGTCCAAGCTCAAGATTAGGATGGTCAACCTGACGGCCAAGACCAGGAAGGTTCGGGCCATGAAGGAGCAGATTGCACCCGCCACGCCAACAAAAAGAGGTTTCGGGGCCTTTGCCTGGTGCCCCGTAAGGGTCCGAGGTCCATGTGATTTCGGATGGAGAGCTCGACGGGATTTGTCAGCAGGCGGGGTCGATCATTGGGCCCAGCTGCAAGGGTAGATCGCTCACAAGGCTGCTCGTCATCGAGAAAGCCTACGTGGCTGGTGGCTGTTGCGCCCAGGTGTGCAAAAGAAATGTGGAGTGCCCATGCATATGCGTATCGCTGGAATTTCACCATTGCCGAGCTCCGCCCTGCCTGGGAGATCACCTGGGCCAAGCAAGCTCCGAAGACTCGACGTGAGGTGGCGGGCCCATTTTCAGCCATGCTCATATGCTTGCAGAGAATTCGGTGGAAGCGTATCTTTGGGGTCACCCTCGAACACGATTTCGGCGAAAAGGTCATTTCCACGGAAGTTATCCCTGGCCTCTAAAAACAATGCTTCGTCAAATCGTACTTCGTAGCCTTGAGCGTCGGGCGGCCGAACGTACGTCTTTGGAATGCCCCCAGCTGTGCTTTGACGCTGTCAAGCGCGCTAAGCTCTGACAAGGTCTCACCAGCTGGGAAAGCTGCAGTGCGAGTGATGGGGTTCGATGATTCGTGGACGACAATTCGCGTCCGTTGCCTGGGTTACCAGGTGGAGTCAGCCAAGTGTGAGCTGTGCCGCCAGGGGCCCGATACCCTGCTGCACAGGATCTGGAAGTGTTCGGCCTGTGATGAAGGGCGTGCTGAGATAGTGTCTGACAGATGCTGGCAGTATAGTAGTGCTGTGAGTGAGGACAACCCTCAAGAGCTGCTGCTGTTGACCCGCGCCACCTTCCCCTACGCTGGTGACGCTTGGCCTCGCCCTAATGTTTCGGGACATGTGGTCTGGCAGTGGGAGGAGGGGGTTGAGTCGGATGAGCACTTAGTTTCGGGGAAGCTATTCCTGTATGGCAGTGCGTTGTATCACGTGGTGTCTGAACTGAATCGGGCCGCCTGGGGCTTGGTCATTTCTGGCAATAACAACCGTTTCTTTGAGCGTATGTTTGGTACGGTCTACGGTAGGCTCCCCCAAACTTCTCAGGCGGGAGAGTTTGCCGCTTTCGGTTGCGCGGGCCAGCTCATTGAAGGCCCGAGTACCTTGTATACTGACTGTGCCAACGTGCATGTGCAAGCTAACAGGAGGAGGAGGCGCTGGAACAAGTCCTTCTGATCGCCAGGACGGTGAGCAAGCTCGCAGCGGCGTGTTTGTTTGAATGGCCGCGGTTAAATCTCTCGGAAGTGCCTTTCGTGGCGCCCGCCCGTCGGCCGAAAGAGAACCGCCCTGGCAGACCCCAGCACTCGTGGGAGTTTGTGTCTGGCCGCTGGCGTTGCCTGTCCTGTTTCAAGGCCTCTCGGTCTCAGTTCCGCCCGCTCCTTCCTGGTTGCCCTGAGAACACTGTGGGCTGGGATTTCGAAGAGATTGAGCGGGGGCATTTCGTTGTAGCCCTTCCGTGATGGAAGTATGCTCCACACTTGCACTCACTGTGCTGCGTACTGTGGGGTAGGCTCGCTCAAGTTCAACCTCTCGAGCCAGTATGTTTCGAAGAAGTGCCCTCAGAGGAAGTCCGTGTGGAACGCACGCATCCTCAAGGGCCTACACCCGAAACCCAGCTGCAACACTCGGGTTGGTCCAGCGGAGGTCATTGGTCTCGAATGAGACTTGTATAGTTCTTGCTCCAGATCCGGATCTTAAGCTTACAATCCAATCTTCCTGGTTTCAACTGTTGATGTTGAAGAAATCCTACCCCTCGCCCCTCGTCGTCCCCCCCCTTCCGAGGAGGCCCCTCTGCCGGCCCCGAGGCGGCCAAAGCGGCGGTCGCGGAACTCCGCGCGCGCGCGCGGGCGTCCCGAAATTCGCCGCCGTCGCGCCCGAGGTCCCGGCGGGCGCGGCTGGCGCGGCGGCCGCGGAGCCCTCGGGCGCGCAGCGCCGCGCCTCTCGAAGAAGAGAAGCTGGCACACGGCAGGTTCGTGCTGTGCCGGCCACGGCGTTGATGTCTGACACCGCGGGGATCGTTCAAACTTGAGCTGTCGGCCATTTCAGAAGTGCCGGATCGTTCAAGGAGGGGCCGATTCTGGGCCACGGGCGGCGTT